GTTTGGATTGCATACAATACAGCAGACCTTCACCCATCATTATCTGAACACAACAAGAATTATGTGGCTGATAATCAAAAATTTTACTTTGGCATATTTAAATATAATTTGAGGATTATTAAATATAGTACACTTATTTCAGATATTAAATGCAGAGAAATAACAAATATAACAACGCATTCTCACCCCAAGGCGTCACCTTTGACCATGCTTCAATATTTGACGTTTTAGGCGCCCTTTAGCGTCACTTACATGACGCGATCCTACGGCGTCATCTAACTGTCGCTAAAGGAAAGCGTCAGTTAGAGGACGCGGTTAGGTTTAGGTGTGGGGTGGGGGTAGGGTACACGCGATCCTAGGGCGTCATCTTACTGACGCTAAAGGGCGCATAAAGCGTCAGATATTGAAGCATGTCCAAATGCTTCCCAAGGCGTCAGTTAAGTGACGCCTTGGGGGTGAGAATGGGCTGAATATAAATGCAGAGAAATATAACGTAAGGTTGTGTTATTTTTCTGGTGAAGCAAGTTAATACGTTTAAGATTAAGATTTTTTTCTTTGGAACAATGCACAAGTTGACGTTAAAGGGTTAGTTCACCCAAAAATGAAAATTCTGTCAGTATTTACTCACCCTCATGTTGCTCCAACCCCGAAAGACCTTCATTCATCTTCGGAACAAGAATTAAAATATTTGATGAAATCTGAGAGCTGGATCACTCTTCCATTCTAGTCCATAGGCTTCTTGAGGGATTTAAACTTGCCGGCCTCGAAATGTTATTAAAGACATTGTTAAAATAGTCCAAATGACTACAGTGGCTCAGTCTTAACTTTATCTATATTTCAACTATTCACTTCCTTCTGTTTGTGCCTCTAGTCAGTTAAACTAGTGTAATTGCGTAGAGCTACGTCACACGTAGGCTCACTATTGGCCGACACTGGTCATGTGTGTGATGCGTGTGACGTACAACAACAGATCATACGCAATTACACTAGTTTAACTGACTAGAGCCGAAAAGAGAAGGAAGTTAACAAAATAAAGTCGTTATTTTTGTTTGTTTTTGCGCACAAAAAGTGTTCTCGTCGTTTGATAAACTTAAGACTGAGCCACTGTAGTCACTTGGACTATTTTAACAATGTCTTTAAAAACTTTTCGAGGCCGGCAAGTTTCAATCACTTAGAAGCCTATGGACTAGAGTGATCCAGCGCTCAGATTTAATCAAAAATAGCTTAATTTGTGTTCGAAGATGAACAAAGGTCTTACGGGGCTGCAACAAGATGAGGGTGAGTAAAAACTGACAGAATTTTCCTTTTTGGGTGAACTATCCCTTTAATAACCCTGAAATATTGCTATCATCTCACAGAGGCAGCAGGGCCAGCAAATGCCAGACTCAGGAGCATGAGTAGAGGGATGAGCTCATCGCCGCTGTCCACGTAGGGCATGCTGAGTGAACGGTCATGGCAGCGGAATCCCACCAGCGCTGGCTGGAGCACATCCGTCAGTTCCAGGAAGTACAGTGAAACCATGGAAGATGCCACAATGGGTAGCTGTTTTCTCAGGGAAGGGACAGTATGTGTAATTACATGGTAGTTACAAATGTATTATGGTGTAATAAATGCAACAGCCTATTTCAATTTTAAAATGTACTAAATTTCCTACAAACAGATATTAAAGATTGATAATACACGAACATCAGAACACAGTTTGATTACTGTTGAATGACTGTGCCAGATGGCTGTTAAATGTCAACACAGAGTACTACTCCAGGGCTGACAGTGTGGATGACACTAATACACACAAATTGACCGCTATTATGCATTTTCAATTATGTCTTCAATGAAAATGAGGAGCCCAGTTATTTTGAGTGTGTAATGTAATTACCTGAGACATTAATTGCTCTATTGAAGTATAACTTGTATATTGATGGCCTGTACCTCAACAAAATAGAAGCAGGGTAGCAGCGTCAAACTGTCTTTGGGTGGTTTCTTCTTAAGTTTTTCACGTGCAGTCATCATGGTGGTGCTCTTCTGAAGTTATTCTGTCAACACATGAGTTCATTTAAAGCAGTTCATTTACTGCACAACATAGCCACTTTGATTCGCTCATTACTAATGCTAATCAGTAGGCAGTATTAGGGAGTGGCACATATTTATTCGAGAGAGCATTTGATTGGACAAAAATGTGGATGTGTTTAATGCGAATGTGAGTGTAACATGAGAAAGAAATGCTTTATAGCTTCTTTTTATTTTTTTTATTTATTTATTTTTAATTACAATATAGCATGAAGCATTTAAAGATACATGGACAGCCATCTTTAGAGTTTTGTTTTTGAATTTCCGTTTCTGTGATAGATCTGTAAATTTACAGTATATGGCTTCGCTGTCGAAGAGTAATTACTAAAGTAGTTAACTAAAGTTATCATGAGCAGTGTTGAATGTTTTAAGTGTAGCGGATGTCATAAGATATATCAGAAGACTGGGAAGATTTTAAAAGGAGCGGTTCAGTCATAAATCTGTAAGATCTAACCTTCATGCTATGACAATACAAACCGGAAGACAGAACACAACGATCACGGTGCCCAAAAAGGGCCGGGGCTACATAAGGTTTGTACAGGTCTAGCCATATCAAAATGCACTTCAAAGGGCATTTTCATTTGATTTAAGATTTAAAATGTATTTTACAAATGAAGAGTTCAGATGCAAAAGCCTCTAAATGCCATTTGAAATTTTCTTCTAGAGTGGTCAATTTTATCAAGCTTGTATATTTAAGTTCAGTAATTTCACTTAAATGGCAATTAATAGGTAATCTTCATTGCCATTTAAGTGAAATTACTGAACTTAAATATACAAGCTTGATAAAAATGATCATTTTAGAAGAAAATTTCAAATGGCACTTAGAGGCTTTTGCATCTGAACTCTTCAAATATAAATATCAATAAACAACACAAGGAAACTTAAAGCACTTATATATATATATATATTGATCTCAATATATTAAGATTGATAATATCCCCCCAAAAAGAATTTTATGAGGAAATAAATATTTGGCCTATAATATATTTGAGTATTTAATTATATTCTGAAATATGAATGTTTGAGCATTGGTTATATCCACTGGAAAAGGCAGGCACAAAGAAATGTTCAAATTACTATTTTCTCAGCTGAAACAGAATGAAGCCCTCCTGAATAAATTGATAGCAGGATGTGTGACTGAGGAAAATAAATATTAAATAAACAGCTTCTCTCTGAATATTCTCAAAAGAGCATAATGAATAAATGTTGATGTGGGCTATTGTTTGAGCAGGCATTGAGAGAATAGTGTTCCGTGCTCTTTGCCAAATCAACAGTGACTAAACAAGGCACTTGTCCTGAAGACACTCTCCCAACTCTCAAGTGGGAGTGAGCGAGGCTCTGCTGAAATTAGCAGAGAGCCTGTTTTCAAGAGTGGGAGCTCTGTTTATCTCGAAGAGCTGCATGTCTCACAGGCAAAAGATTTCTGAGTGTGTGTGTGTGTGTGTGTGTGTGTGACACTTTTAAGGAAGAATCCATAGGCGCTAAGATCTCTCCAAAAAGACTGTGTTTGTGCTCACACATAGCTACTCACAGTGAGAGGCTTTAACTACAGAGAAAGGTAATTTAAACTTGACTGCGTTTTCACACGAATCTGTGGGGTAAAGTGTGGTAAAAGAGTGAGTTGTGCAACACTGACCCTAGTTTGTCCACAAAAACCCAACCGAAATGTGTCCACAACACTGCAGAACAAATAGCTATAGATCGATAAAGATTTGGAGCAACGACAACCAGTCAAGGCGAAATCATTGTAGGCCAACACTTGACGTGAAGAGACCCAGGAAAAATCAATAATGAAATCAGATAAGAATGAGCTAGATCAGTCTTGCTAATGTCCACGCATTATGAGAAAAGTCACTGATGATGATTTCAATTACACTGGAAATTTAGACTGACAGTCACATGTATAACCTTGATTGTTGTATATATATATATATATATATATACTGTATATATATACTGTATATATATATATATATATATATATATATATCCCATATAAGTATATAAAAGCTATAGCCTATATGCAGGGTGGATTAAACAAGTAAATGACAGGAAAATAATTTGATGATTGTATAATAATATAATGATTGTAATGAATAGTGAATTGCTAGTGAATTAAATAGTGAATTAAATATTAAATAGTGAGTAGCCTAGTGCAATAGTGAATTAAAAGGCAAGAATTTTTAAGCACTCAGGAATTTATCAGTTGTAGGTTCATTGATCAGGTGTCAGTTGAACTGAAACCTTGAGAGAATCGTTGCACAATAAAGGCTTGAATGACCTGCAGTCGATATCAGTATCCATACGTTTACATACATTTGCCTGCCTAAATATTTTTGATAAAGTAAGATTGAGATTGTGTTTGTTATGTAAATCTGCCGTACACCCACGTCACTGCGACACCCTCAGTTATCATTTATCGAAATAACACTGCATCTCCACTGGACGCGACGCGACCGTCCCCGCACGCGTTTTCTCCCACATATAGGTTAATTATAATGGCAGCGTTCCTGTCGCGTCGCGTCGGGATTACGTGTTGTTTATTCTTACAGATCTGCTGCTGTTCTTCATGCAGGTAAAGAATTTGAGGAAAATATCTCACCTTGACTGCGAAATCAAACGACTGTCTGAAAGAACGATATCCTGAGTGAAAAAAAAAAAAAAATCCAAGCTTATTCCTTCTTCACGAGGTTATACTGCGGCTCTTTCAGTTCATATTCCTCTTTCTGCTCACGTTTTCCACGGAGCAATCACGAACTCTTGTTATATGCCTGCCTTCTGGAGCCAACCACAATATTCCTCAACTCACTTGCTGACATCCTAGCTACTGACATCCAATATCTGAGGGGCTTCAGAAGGACCCCACTATAGGCTATTAGAGACAACAATGATTTGTCAGTGCATGGAGCTGCATCAATTGATATTATAAAATCGGTCCATCATCAGCAGTCATCAGGTGTGGCAGCATTCCTGAGCATCTGTGGATCTCCACAAGCAGTGGTAACATGGTAGCTATTGCACAGGTAACGTGTTTAGTAGGCTACAGGGTGGCGTGGAGATGGTATGGACTGGTTTATTGGACAACTTATGCCTTGATTCAGGATGCAAACACACATGAACACCCCTACACATCATGATGCCCTGTTTGCTGTAGTCTTACAAACGGTTTCCCTTTCAGCCGTGTTAGGGACCACAGAATAAGCAGAATCAGCCAAATTAGCCTGTGGATTGCATGTGTTATATTACTTTAATTGAATGCATATAATGTAAGAAACAAATCTGTGCATTTATTTGCAATTTTCCATTATTTTCATTCATTCATTTTATATTATAGAGGTGACTCAATAAAATAGTATTTATTTAAATAAAAAAGTATTTATTTTGCCACTATAATAATGTGATTATATTAAAAGCTGCGGACCCCCATATAAAGAGCCAAATTGTCTTAACATTTAATTTGCATCTTTCATTAATAAACACTTTCCTCAATAACTCCAATCATACATTTATAAATACATTTTAATATAGAAGACATTCAAAAGTTTGTGGTTGGTAAGATTTGAAAGAAGTCTCTTATTCTCACCAAGTATGCGTTTATTTCATCAAAATACATGAAAAACCAGGAATATTGTGGAAAAACTTTCACAATTTAAAATAACTTTTTTGTTAAATATTCTAAAACATAATTTTCTCCTGTGATGACAACGCTGAATTTTTCAGCAGCTTTAGTTTTTAGCTTAGATTCAGCAATCTGGTGCTCAAGAAACATTATGTTGAAAACAATTGTGAAAAAAAAAAAAAAAAAAATGATGAATGGAAAGTTTAAAATAATTTATTTGAAATAGTAATCTTTTGTAACATTATAAACGCTTTTACTGTCACTTTTTATCAATTTAATGCCGCCTTGCTGAATAAAAGTATTGATTTCTTAAAAAAAAATCTCTATAATTGGTTTTTAAATTACCATTAGGGCATCAGTGATTTTAAGATTATTTTTTTCTTTGCTTGCTTCCAGATGGTCTGAATATGGGCACAAACTGCATTGAGGAAAAAGTGTGAACCCTCAGCAAGCTGCTGCCACTGAAGGCCTGGAGAGATGCCCGGTGGCCCTCTGGTCACCTTTGCTGAGCGTCCCGTGCCGGGATGACCTCTTGAGCCAGAGCCAAAGCACAGGCTGTCTCAGTTCTCCTCGTGATTTCCCATTTATTCCCAAGGTCAAATCCTCATTATGTCCCTACACTGTAAACAATTGCCAAGAATTAACAGGATTAAAGAGTATTATTTTACAACAAGAAAAAATTCTACAGTGAAATTAATGCATGCTGGGTAATTTTCTGTTCATCAACAGCAGATTGATGCTGATATCACAGTAAAATACTGCTCTTGTTTTACTGTTTAACCAAACGTGTGATCTAGCCAAGTCAGAAGTGTGACAAATGAAACCATTTGTTTAAACTATGCAAATCTAGAATATAAAATAGGTTATTTGAATGATTTTAAGTTAGTCACACTTCACTTTAGCATTAAGATCTTATTTCAGATTCATAGCTTAAGTGCATTGATCTGTCACAGTAGTTAAGCAACTGTCTTTGAAAGGTGTCACCTGACAGCAAAATACTTTTTTTTCTTACAAGTTTCACCTATGAACATTACGTCAATACTACAAAACACGACAATGGTGACAAATAATAATAATAATAAAAAAAGAAACCCTAAAGAGTACAAAATAAACCAATAACACAAACTGCTAAAAGTGAACCAAAATGCAACAGATAAAACCAACAGGAATCAAGAAACTCCACTGCATTATCTATTCATGTCACACTGCATTCTGGGTACCTTCATAGTACATATGCACTGTAGAAATACAATATGATATTGTTTGTTTACAGTATTTTTTTGAGATTGCCATTAGATACAAGAGAAGTCCTACAGTGAAAGTAATGCAATTATTAACCTGGAATATACTGTAATTTCACACATTTTTTTTAAGTTTAAATAGTGCTGTTACTGAAGTGTCTGTCTACACTTAAAGGATCATTCTATGGGCAGAATCCATAGGGCATCTTTTGGATCCACTGATGTAACACATGATGCTAATTTGTATGTGAATAAGCATTGATGAATATTTAACATGACTGTGTTTGTCAGGTTTAGCACCACCCTATGGTTGTCAGACGATAGACAATTTCACAATTGATATTTCTAAAAAGAAGAATTATCGTTTTAAAATGTAATAAAACAAATCAGAAGACAAAACTATTTTATGTATTACAAAATTTTTTATTACATACTACAACATTACAAAAATGACATGGTTTCATATTTACAACATAAAAAAAAGACATTATTCATTCTCTCTAGCAGACATTGTGGCAGGGAGAACCTCTTGTAGGACACGTTTTCAAGAAAATAAAGATTGCTTCGTTGCACAGATCTGTTGGTTAGTTTACAATAAGAGATCCATGCAGCTTTAACATTTCCTCACATTTCCAGACGGTGTGTTTTTTATGTTAGTGTGGAGGGGATTCTTCTCCAGAGACCTCCACACAGACAGTTCTTGATCCAGCGTTGCTCCCACTGTCTCATGGCGTTGGTTTTATTTGGGGATCTCAGCATGGTGACACAGCCACACCTAAACAGACCGAAAAGATAAGAGCTCATTAAAGAGTGGCGCTAAATATAGAGTTTGTGAAGGAAGAATCATCATCATATGTGGAGATTAAAGATTTACAGGCCAAACTATCCATAAAAAGCATAATACATCACAGTCTGTTTACAAGTATTATCATTTTTGTATCAAAAGTAATTTAATGCAATTTGTCTTTATTCCTCCATCAAAGTTTTTAGAAGTCAGAAGTTTATACATAAATGTAAAGGTACACTATGTAACGTTTGTCTCTCTAGCAGAACAATGTTGACGGTGCTACTCCTCTCTGTTCTCTGTTAATGTACTGTATATGACGAGTCACACAGATACTGTGCTACTCCACAGCGGTTGTCGCCCAGCTTGGACTAAAATGGTGTCAATATTAACACTTATTATAGGCGTACTGCAGTGATTCGGGCATTTTAAAGGGCACCTATTATATCCCTTTTTACAAGATGTAATATTGGTCTCGGGTGTCCCCAGAATGTATTTGTGAAGTTTCATCTCAAAATACCCCACAGTTAATTTATTATAACCATTTGAAAATGTCATTTTTGGGGCCTGTTTAAAAATTAGCTGTTTTGGTGTATACAACCTTAAATGCAAATGAACTGCATATCCCCGCCCTGCCTTTGGATGAGGGCATCACTTGATACCTATGGCAGTCGGTAAGCAGAAGGGCTGAGAGAGTGAAAGACGCGCAGTTTTGAATGTCATTCAGCGTACGTTTGAATCGGAATATATAAATAGTCTCTGATCAGACCCAGATGACGAAGAGACTCCGGCAGAATAAACACAAATCAGAATGGACCAGTACGTCTCGGTATGGTTATTTGATACATTTATGTACTTATAGAGTTGTAATCGCATCCCCTTTGAAATGATGGATGTGCAACACACACACACACAGACACACATTCTGTGATAAAGTTTGCTATGTACAAGCGAAATTACATTTATGCGAGGGACCTGTTGCGTAATCTTTACATTATTTGTATATCTTTAAATATATATATATATATATATTTTTTTTTAACATGTGGTTACACACTATACAAACAAGGTTTAAATTATATACACAGACATCCTACGACGACGATGACAACAACTTTAGACGCATTTGTTGTTGAATTGGCTGACATTGACTGAAATGACTATTTGCTCAAAAATCATAAAATACACTTACTGGAGGTGACGTTGGATCGCAAACAGTAGACGACAATCCACACTTAAGGATTAACTTTTAAGCCACAACAACAGGATTAACCCACGACAGAACATTTATGTTTCCAAGTGACATTACCGGCTGTCGTTGAAACAACGGAGGATGATGTGTACAGATCACTGAGGGCGGGGTCTATGCCACAACCACACTGTCAATCAAACCCCTTGCTCAATTCTACGTCACAAAGCGCTGAATCTTAGAACAGCTCGTTCTGAGACAGTGCTTATGATTTATTGAGATTGTAAAAAAAAAAACACTGGGTGGATTTTTATCATTCTAGGGTGGTTTTGCTCACACACTGCCAACACACATTTATGTTCAAACACCATGTAAAAGTGAATTTTCCATAATAGGTGCCCTTTAAAATATGGCACAAATGGCATTTTTAAATATAAAACTGTTATTTAAATTATAATAAAATTTCACAATATTATAGTATTTTTAATCAAATAAATGCTACCTTGCATAAGAGACTTTTTTAAAAACATCAACTTCAACATCAAACAACAACTAGTGCATATGAAGAGTTCAGATGCAAAAGCCTCTAAGTGCCATTTGAAATTTTCTTCTAGATGATCATTTTTATCAAGCTTGTATATTTAAGTTCAGTGATTTCACTTAAATGACAATGATAATTACCTATTAATTGTTATTTAAGTGAAATTACTGAACTTAAATATACAAGTTTGATAAAAATCATTATTAAAGAAGAAAATTTCAAATGGCACTTAGAGGCTTTTGCATCTGAACTCTTCATATATATATATATATATATGTGTGCATGTGTGTGTGTGTATAGAATGTATCCCTTATTTTCAAAATTACATTTTAATGGTTTTATAAACGAATTTGTTTATTTGTTTATAACATTAACATTTTACTTAAGGAATACTTCTAAAGTGATACCTGGTGCAAGCTTTGCTGTCCTCTGTTGGAGAGATTCCCAAATGTAAACATCTCAGATGGTCCATCCTCTGAGATGCTGGAATTCTGAAACAAAACCGTCAAAACATAAATGCATTAACCACTGGCAACAATTAACCCTTTTTATTAGACAATTATCTGTCAATTCAGTTTCTCAGAAATCGGACTTGGACTATAGCGCGCAAGTCATACGGACTACTTTTATGCTGCTTTTTAATTCATTTTGGAGCTTGGTTTTCCATTCTTTATTAACTTTCATTATATTTAAAAAGTGGACAGGATATACTTCAAATTATGCATCTTTTGTGTTCTGTGTAAATGATAAATGATCATTTTTGGTGAACTGTCCCTTTAAGAAACCGATAATCACTTACCTGAAAACCTCCACCTGTGCATTGGGGTTGACCCCAGGCAGGGTGTATGGTTTGCCAAACTGAAGTCTGAGCGGGTGTTTGCTCTGGATCTTAGTGATGACACCATCGTTGATGGGCAGCCAGTCCATGCTGGGTACTAGAAGCTGACTGGGCAACAGACAGCACTCATCAATCAACGTCTCATCGGGGTCCTGCGGGTGACTCTCATCTCGAGCTATAAACCAAAAGAAAACAGCAAAACAGAGTACATTTTTTTTAAGACTTTACAGGTTTTTCACTGAACTGAAATTTTGGCCCAATGAGTGATGGTTTAAGAGGGTCTAACTCACAGCAGAGCCAGAGTTTGGTGAGCAGCCGGAAGAGCAGGAACATGCTGTCCTGGTTGTCAGATGTGGCCGTGTAGATAGGCAAACAGCCTGGTTTCAGCAGGCCCCAAATACGGATCATGACCAGCATCTCTCTGAGCATGCCCAAAGAGGCACCATCCCGCAGGAACCCAAACCCTGGACGCACAATGGAGCCCTGGAGAGATATTAAGGCATAACAGCATCATCTAAAAGTCAAAACTGGCAGGATAATTTGGCAGAAATTGGCAGTACTCTTAGTAAAGGTCATCCAGTTGATCTCACCTGGTTGGGCAGGTTGGCCAGCAGGTAAAGAACAAAGTCTCCGACCCACTGAATGAGCTGCTGGAGAGATTGGAGAGGGGGTCCATCCAGAACAAACTCCTCAGTCTTGAGGTTGATCATCACTTTATCAATGTCTGAACACATTAACCGATCAGAGCGTCAAAACAACAATAAAAAAAATTTTTAGTCCCCCTAGTCCTCTGTTTCTCCCTACCAAACCGGAAAAGGAGAATCGAGATTGCGCACTTCGTTAAGCACTTAAATTTCCCATATTTGGATTTCGAAATGTGATTGAAAATTAAACAGCACAATTATCACAATTCTCTCAAATAATTGAGACTAGATCAAATAACCAAAATCAGACGATTGATCAATAATCACGGCAGGCACACACTGAAGCATTTTTTGGGTGGTGGGTTATTACCGATGTCAGTGTTTTTGGCACAGATCTCAGACAGTCTGTCTCCAGGACTCTTGTCGGGGGTGTTGAGCACATGAGGTCTCAGTAAAGACTTCAGCGTGGAGCTGATGGCAATAAGGAGCAGTTTAGCGTGGAAGTCACAGGCTCTTGCTGCAGTGGCAGAGGACAGCTTACACAGAGACGCCTTCACTGCCACTATACGGGTGGACAAAACCTTAAAGACAGGAATCACATGAAAGTCAATTGAGAAGTCATGAGGTGGAAGTTTCTATAATAACAGGTTGATCTACCTGCTGCAGTGCTTGGTTTTGTCTCATGTACTCCTCGTGAAGTTTCTCCAGAAGGTTATGCACCATGCCGGGCTGCGCGTGCAGCAGAACGTCCCACCAGTCATATCCTGTCACCATGCAGTACTCAAGGAGGAAGAGTAGGTGGCGCAGAAGCGTGTTCATGTCCAACATTTGACCCATAGATGGGGACACGCGAAGCATGTGCAACTGAAATCATAGGAGGGGAAACATAAGATCTGAGGGTGCTTCTGTCATCGCTACTGTAGGTGTCATGACGTCATACCTTGCCATGGTTATCCACGCCCACCAGAGCCAGAGATGTCCAGGAGAACTGAAGGGCTTTGAAGTGCAGCGTCGGGCCGCCAGTCCTCTGGCGTTTAATGGCGGGTTCTTCTCCAACACGCTGGGAGGAACCAGAGGAACCGTAGAACACTCCCATGGTGTGTAGGGAAAGGCGATGGAGAATCTGGATACTGCCGTCATGGAAAGCCAGGGCAAGACCTGAGGACAATAAAAAAATAATCAATCTGAGCCATCGAAGCTACGTTCTTTGAAGTAAGAGAAAGGATACAAAGGCTGTACCAAGGCCTGGGAAGAACTTGGTGTCCGAGGCGACTTTGAGATCAGTGTTTGAGATGGAGATGGGAAGTTTGGGCAGAGCGACAGCAGATACACGGTCCAGATCGTTGGTCGCTGAGAGAATACGCCACTTCAGAATCATTGGCTGCTTTTCACCGACTAAAAATGGTGAGAAAACAAAGGGTTGACATCAGAAACTTAAGTTTCAAGCCAGTAATGTAATAAACACATACACTCACACCTACTACTGCAGCTCAGATAATTTGTTGTGCCCAGGAGTAAAACAAGAAGACTTTATTTTATCCCACATGCTTTTAAATTGTTTTATAATAACGTACAGGTTTGGTTGTATGAAGCCTGATGTATTTCAGGTTTTTCTGTGTATCTGTTTCACTCCACTTGTTTTTTGTACAATTAATATCCTGCCTTGTCAAACTCTAAATAAAACTAACAAACAAACACACACACACATATATATATATATATATATATATATATGATATATGGATACATATAACACACAGACACACACACATATATCACACACACA